TCTTTCTGATACTTCAACCCATGGCTTCCTTAAACTTTTATTTAGATAGAGGTTCTTTTATATGTAATACTTGATGTTCTTCACTCCATCAATGGCCAAGGTGGCAGTTTGATTTTGCTTTCTTTTTCAGAGAGATGGTAACAAACAAAAGTATCTTCTGCACTGTTTTTATTTAGATTACTGGTTTAGCTTTACTCAAAATTATATTGATCTATATACTACTAAACCTCTCATGTCTGTAACCTTAAACTGGGCAAAACAGTGCATCATAGGGCAACAGTTTTTGAACCAAGGTACCTCAAATGGACTAACTTACAGAATGTGTCCAAAATCCAGGACCCATTACTTGCATGGGATTGAAATGTGGGAAATTTGTGGCTGCTTCAGCACTGCTATGCTGCTGCACCACCATGGTCAGCCCAGGTCACGTGATCATCATGGGCATATCCCTGACCTCTTTCCTGCCTCCTTTTATCCCCTGCACCCAATCAGCTTGCGGCAAGGCCTGATGGGCAAGTGGTGATTGGCTGCTTTGGAACCGAGGCAGAAATTTGAAATCTCTTAATGACTGTGGGCATTGAGGAAAGGAAGAGGGAGTGACTTGGATGCCTGTTGGCAAGGTAGGGCTGGCTGGGGGGTACTCGCAATCAATGGGTGAGCCCTCTTCCTCAAGGGAGGAGGCCCTTGGGGACATGTGAGTATGGGGAGCTCCCTTTGTTCCACCTCTCCCACCAAAGTGGCAGGCAGCTCTGCAGGTCAGTTGAGGAGGAGGCTTCATGGGGGCTCTCCTGAGGGTTGTGAGGGGAGGACAAATGGCACAAGCCTATATTATATGTGGGGAGGGAGGGAAGGAGGAAGATTTTTGACATTCCCTGCCAGATTCTCACAAGCAAAGTCAGTGGAGAAGCTGGCAGCAAGTCACAAGTCGCTCACACTCCTACTGCTTTTTTGCCCCTGTTTCTCTGTTTCGGTAAGGAAATATCTCTGAAATGATGATCCAACAGGGCATGGGTTTAATTTTGATTAAAATATAAATGTAAAAAAAAATACTTTGTGTTAAATGAATTGTGGTTTCTAAATGATGATCAGTGCTGAGAAAAGATTGCAAGGGTAAGCAAATTCATTTCAGTAGGATGTGAAAAGCTAAGGTTTGTATTCTTTCTATGACCTGTTCCTTTCCAGTTCAAAAGAAAAATGGAAAGATATAGGATAATGCCTTCACAACATTCCCTCAGTTATTCAGCCTGAACTAAACCATATGAAAGGAGTGTGGCATGGACTTCAGGTTACATGAAATGCATCGAAACTCTAATTATTCAAAATAAATGGGAATATAATTTTGTACTTCTATCCAGATATTATGTTACAGGTGATGTAGAGCCTTGAATTAGTATGTTCTATATACAATGAAGAGGTTTTAAAGTGCCTCTAGCCTACCAATCCTGCTTATTCTCACATTCAAAGAGAATGTGTACCCTTTTAAAATTATCTCCAAATAGCAAAATGTGCTTCTTTGACATAAAAACCATGTTCCCCAAGTAATAAATTAACTTTTATTATTTACTTGCCGCTTCTTGCTTGTAGTAGGTCCCAACTCTTAGATATTTCCCCCCTTCAGTTGATTGTTGAAATTAATATGATGAGATTAATTTCATTAAGGATAAGAGGAGTTTTGCTTTTGTTTTGTTCAGAGAAAGACATCTCCAGTGGCGGAAGGGAACAAGACTTTCAGCAACCGAGATTTAAATGCTGTTTGAACTTGAATTTTCTGAAGGAAAGGAAAGGATAACAGATTTTGTTAATATAACCTACCAGTTTGGGTCTCTGTTTTTCTGGAAATAAGAATATACAGTACATAGTACCTTTACTTCTTGTTAGAAGAGGTAGATGAAGAATGCAGAGAGGAGGAGGAACTTCAAGTTCTCGACATTTGACAATGCTAGCAAGCCATCTGTGGTGCAGAGTGAAGGAAATTTTACATACACTTTTTAAAGGATGTTATACTAGACCTAAAACTACGGTTGTGAAATTACTGTATAAACAAGAAAAAGCTCAGGTTGTAAACAGTTTGATTTTTAACTGTACAATACCTTAACTGACAGTTTATCTATTGTATTTTAATAAAGGACTGCTTCTCACATGTATTATTTAAACTATAAAATTCTGGGTAAAATAAAGCAGTTAGAACAGACTCATTCTTTCTATAAAATATTTCTCTGTCTTGTCAGTTACATTTAAACTGGGAACTTAAAAAGGTTTGTTTCAGTTTATGAAACTTTACTCTTGGTGTACTCAAGTTAGAAGCTGATGTTAAGTTCTAAACATTCATTGTAAAGTTCTTAGTATTTTGACAGGTTCTCAGAGGCAAGGTCAGTTTGGGAAAAGTGAGAACCTAACAGATCAGGGAGAAAGGAACCATCACACAGAGAGAAAATTCTAAATAAAATTAATAATCACTTTAACTCAGCTTAAGTATATTACATACATGAGTTTGATTGTTGGTTTTGGATTTTATACAGATAGATAGATGGATGGATAGACAGAGGTGTGTGTGTGTGTGTGTGTGTGTGTGTATCTGCTTTCAGATACAAAAGAAGAAAATACTTAATATGGCAGATTTGGACCTTTTTCACTTAATGGTTCATTTAACGGTTGTTTTGGAGGTATGTTTTAAATTGCCGTCTTGCTGAAATAGCCAATCTCCTTTTACCTTCTTCACTGACATTACAACATTAACTTCTAGGATATTTGAATATCTAGTTAAATCAGTTCTTCCTTTCACTCACATAATTTCCCTGTGTCACTGACTGCCACACAATCTCAAACCATAATAGAGCTATCACCATGTTTATAAAGAAGCTGGCAAGTTGTTCTTTCTTCAGATACTTTACCTTTTTTTTTTCCTTCAAATGTATCTTGTGTGACTGTGGAACTACAGTTCAGTTATTGATTCATTGATGCAAAGCACTTTTTCCCAAAAGTTTCAAGCTTATCAAGATTTTATTTGTATACTTTAGTTTTGTGATGTGGTTGATGGGGAAAAAATGTTTCTGACAACTTTCCCATGGGGGAGAAAATATTAGTTCTGGCTTATTAAATTTGCAGCATGAAGGAGACGACTTACTAGACATTTTAAGAATGAAGTTGAGTTTTATCAGAATATTAGTGTTTATCATATATTCTCATTGTAATTTCGGCCAAATATCAGCTTTCTTTCATTATTTTTGTCTGCATGATTTACTAATCAAGAACAATATTCTAAACTGGGGATCCTGCACATTGGTATTATAATTAAACCTGGAAGTAGGTTTCATGGTGCAGCTCAAATCAGCATTACATTCTCTTCTAACAATTTTCAGTAGTGCAGAACCCACCACACCCTTTGCTTAATGGGTTTCTCGCACCATATTATTTATTCCTGGTTGTGTGTATGCAGGTTGGTTGTGGTGGGGAATAACTTTTGTTGTTGTTTAGTCGTTAAGTCGTGTCCGACTCTTCGTGACCCCATGAACCATATTGCGCCAGGCTTTCCTGTCCTTCACTGCCTCCCTGAGTTTGCTCAGTTTCATGCTCAGGGGAATAACTTACATCATAAATATTTTCAACTGTAAAATAGTAGAGTACTGAGAAAAAGAGTACTGTATATGTGGGATTGATGTTTATAATAGCAGCCACATCTCATATATATTTTCAACACTGATTTAGTTACCATACTTTCTCTTCACATTGAATTTTTAGTTGGTGATAAGAACCAAAACTGGAGAGGTCCTTTATCGCATTTCTCCTTGGGCTAGATATGTAGTTCGTGAAAGTAACAAGGTGAATTATGACTGGATATACTTGGAGCCATCAACCCCGTATACTGTAAGTTATTAAATGAACTGTGATCTAATTTTTTATACATTTAAAATTGAGTATTTTTATACATGCCAGTGGGCTTCTTTCTTAAAATTTGCAAACACTCTGAGATTTGCATGTAGAATATTGTTTATTAGAAGAGCAAACTATGTGCATTTTCCTATTAATATAAATTATTTAATATAAGTCACATATACATTTTTACTTGCAAGTGTATTAAAGGTATTTTATATGTGTATCAACCAGAGATAGTTCCTGGTTGACCTTATTTGTGCTCAGAAATTAAGGTGAGCCAGATCTAGTTAATATTTAGATGGGAGACCTTCAGGCTTTGGTTAGTTTTTAAAAATCCCAGAAGAAAGCAATAGCAAATTACTTCCATACTGTTGCCAAGAAACCTGCATGGATTTATTCATTACATTTCCAGGAACTAAGCTCAACTGAAGGAAGCTTTAATAACTGCTCACTTTCTTTAGTATATCCAGTATAGCTGGTAGAAGGTACCTGTTTAAAAGTTTAATGTTCCTGTAGCAAACTGGGGAAGAAGTGTTTTCCTGCCATATTTGGAACTAATTGTGTTTGAAAAGTTAAACTGATGAATCCACAGAGATGGTGTCATTTCTTTTCCTTCACAAATGAAGGCACATAACATCTCAATGCAATCCTGCATTTGAGTTACAGTCCCAGTCTTCCCCCCAGCAGGATGACAGATGCTGTTGAAGGGCTTAGGGCAACCTGAGAACCTATAGGGAACATTAAAGTGAGTGAGCTTTAATTATTGTGATTATTCTGAAGAATCTAGATTTCAAGGAGTACCTGGAATGTAATTTTATTCATTATTTATATGCAGCATAACATAGACTACAAAAGGAACATGCTTTCTTTACAAAATTAAATTCATAACAGTACACAAAGCATCTGCACCTATTTTTTCCCTTTCAAAACCAAATAAAAATTGTCAAGTCTAGTTAAACCTTTCTGTGATTTGCTGTCAGCCTTTAATCTTACAAACTCTGTGAACTTTCACATCTCAAAAATATTCCATATTTCAGTAATTCAGTCCTGTATGATAAGCAATATTGATGTATGCAAGATGAATGCAATTACAAGTTGTTTAGCAATCAAGAGATCTGTTATTAATTTTGGGTGTTCTTTCTACAATATTCCTTCTAATAGGCTCAGTAAATTAATCTTTGATTTATTGATAGGAAAGAAAGATTAGAACTGAGGACTGGGATGCAGTGGAGTGGAGAGGACAGTATAACACATTCAATTGATAATGTTTCCAATATGAATAGTAAGGAAACTGATAAACTTTAAAATATGCCCTAGTTTTCAAACTGTCTTTCCAGGAACCTAGGATTTCCCTCGAAGCATTCCTTGATGAGAAAAACAATAATGATAGATAATGCCATTCTTCTGCAGTGTAAAACAGAATAGCATATATACTGTAGGGCTGTTCTTTTTCTTCTAGTTAATGATGAGATCTAATATCTTGTGATTATTGAAAATAGAAGTTTGCTTGCAAATTCTTTGGCAGTCAAACTGGGATATTACAAATTTTCTGAAAAAGGAATTTTAAAGGGGTATTTCCCAAAGAAATTGCTGACCTTTATTTTAAACATTAGGAATCTAAGTAGCTAACTTACATTCTGCCCTTGCAGTATCTACAGTATCTGCTGCAAAGAGAGGCAGGGATATCTGCAGTGACAGTCACTGACTTCAAAAGGATGGTTGCAATCAGGTGATCAAAGACCCATCCATTTTTTAATGTGCATCGCAAGCATGTAAATATCTGCAGTGACAGTCACTGACTTCAAAAGGATGGTTGCAATCAGGTGATCAAAGACCCATCCATTTTTTAATGTGCATCGCAAGCATGTAAAAAGGGGCAGAGTTTTGCCTAGTTCTGCCTACAATTTTGAAACCAGTGACATTTCCTGTGGATGTCCCTGGCTTGGATTATGTCCCATGGGAACTTTGAAAAAAAGGAATTTGTACACACTAATTCAGTCCCAAAAATGGAATAATAGCCCTTCCATCTTCAAAATGTATAAGATTTCTTCCATATCTTTTGTGTTTATATAAACTTGAATGTGCTGGTTTAGATTTTAACATCACTCCCAAACTTGTCTAATAAAACTAACAGCTTTCATATTTTTATTGTTAAACTATTTTTTCTGTCTTATGTAGTGGAAACATCCCATTCCTAAGAAACCAAAAAGCTTAAGAATCTATGAATCTCATGTGGGAATTGCTTCCCCTGAAGGGAAAATAGCTTCATATAAAAACTTTACACACAATGTGCTTCCAAAAATCAAAGATCTTGGTAAGTAATATCTGTGGCTTTTTTGAGATAATTTTTTAATGAGCCCTATGTTTTTATTAGAAAGTTCATTTCAAAAATCTTTGGACTGTCTCCATGTTGATTTTTAATGCATCAGGGCAATTTATAGTACATGTAAATTAAAAAAAAAAAGGCTGCTAAAATCAACATGCTGTTTTGTAATATATTTAAGTAAAGAGCCACATCCAGAAATAAATTGCTAGTTCAGTATAGAAAAAGCTTGACTGATTCTATATTATTTAGGATTAATACAAATAGACCAATTTTGATGTGAATGCTCAAAAGTATAAAATAGATTTATGTGTCAGATAGAAAATATGTGCTATGTTTGGGCCCGTGCCTGACTCCAGCTGCACCTCACCAAGTGCAAATTCATTGTTTCGCTGGAGGAGACAGTGGAAGGGCTAGAGGTCCATCTGGCCACACTGAGACTTCACAGGGAAGTTGAGGAGTTCCTGGACAAAGCAGAAGGATGTCTCAGAAACTAACACATGAAGAAAGACATTACGACAGAGAAAACAGGAGCTTTGGAAGAAGAAGGATGACAGCATGGAACTCAGAGGACCAAGATAGCAAAGAGACTATCCCTGTCAGTGGAGCTGCACAATCAGTGTCAGGCACTATAACTTGAGAAGAAGCAAACCTTCAAGGTAGACCAGACTGGGAAACCAAGGTTATGACTGCTAAAACTACTTTTATTATACAGTTACAGTAAGAGAATCTTGCAAGTCTGAATATGCTTCCTCCCACCCTCCATTTATGTTCAAGGGAACCAGGGATGGTCAAGTCTAAGACACTTTCTCAATTACAGTTCTGCTTTGGACTTAAATTCCTTTTATCTGACTGTTGTCTTGGTTGCTGTTCATCCTCCTGTTCCTCAAGGTTATTGCTACTGATTACAGGAAGACTCACAGATTTCTAGAGAAGTTATTTTACCCAAAATCCCAGTAATAGAATTGTTACAGAAACAGGAAATTCAGTGACTCCACCAAAGAGGAAAGGGCATGCAGTGGGTGACAGTCTGCAGACTAGACATGTTATCAAGGGAAATATGTTGTCTTCTAGGTGTGAAGATCCAAGATGTAAAGATCCAAGATGGAGAGGCTGGCCCAAGTAATCAAACCTACTGACCCCTATTCCTTTGTTCTGTTTCATGTTGGAATAAATGACATAGCCAGAAAGAGACTGGGGACAATATTGAAAGATATTGAGATGCTAGGCAGGAAGGAAAAGAGTTCGGACCCCAGGTGGTGTTTTCATCCATACTTTCAGCTGAGGAAGGAGGTGAACTTCTGGCTCAAGAAAACTTTAGATTCCTGGACCACAGACTTCACCAGTTAAAGGAAACACTAAAGGAAGGAGGCTCCATATCATAAAGGCTGGGAAAAATGTCTTTGGAAAATATCTTGATAAAGTAATCTGGAGGCTTTCAGACTAAATCTGGAAGAAGTGTAAGACATTACCAGTGACCACATCCAAACCAAAGCTGGTAAACCACACAACAAGTAAGGAAGTGGTAAGAAGGAAGAGATACTCAAGTATGCACTAGGAAATGCAGCAGAGATACCTTAAGGATTACTAATGCCTGTATACCAATGCATAGAGTATAAACAACAGACAGGAAAAGACATAGTACAAGAGGGCAAATATGATATTGTAGGAGTAACTGAAACTTGGTGAGGCAGATCTCATGATTGGAATCCAGTAATGGAAGGATATGATTTGTTTTAAAAAAAAAATAGAACCAACAAAAGGGAAAGTGGAGTTGCATTATATGTAAAGAATGACTACACCTGCATGGAAATGCATGGCCCCAAGGTTGAAAACCCTACTGCAAGAGTCTAGGTGAATATTAAGAGAAAAATTAATACAAATGACACTGTTGTGGGTTGTAATACAGACCACCCAACCAAGAAGAAGATATAGATGAAATCTTTGCAGACCAAATGGCAAAGGTATCCAAGGAAACACACCACAGTGATGATGTGGGATTTCAACTACCCTGACATCAACTGGGAATCAAACTCTGGGACAAGTAATATGTCTAACGGGTTCTTGATGTGTCTTGCAGACAACTTCATCATTCAAAAGGTACAGAATAAAACTAGAGATTAGCTATATTTAACTTAATACAATCTAACAGAGAAGAAGTAGTCAAAGAAGTGGAAGTGGGAGGGAGTTGAGAGAGATTGGCCATATAATCCTAGAATTCATATTGCATGCAGGAAGAACTCAAGGTACCCAAATTAGTGTTCTAGATTTCAAGAGAACTGAGTTGAACAAGCTAAGAAAAAAAGTAGGAAGGATTTCATGTATGGAAACCCTGAGAGGAATAACAGTTCAGGAAAGTTGGGAAATTATGAAAAATGAGATAATGAAGGCTGAAACATAATCAATATCAAGGAGGAAAAGAAATAGGAGATACATTATGAGACCAGCATTGTTGCACCAAGAGCTCTCTGATAAACTGGGAAACAAAAAGGACAACTTTTTTTAAAAAATGTAAAGAAGAGCATATAACAAAAACAGAATATCAGTAAAAAGTCTGAATCTGCAAGGATGGGGTCAGGAAGGCTAAAGTTCAGCATGAGCTAAGGCTTATTATGGATGCCAAAAATATCAGAAAGCGGTTCTTTGGGTATGTCTGGAACAAAAGAAAAATCAAGGAAATAGGTAGCCCACTGGTTGGAAAATATAGCAAGATGGTGACAGGTAACCGGGAGAAAGCTGAACTGCTTGATTCCTACCTTACACCTGTCTTTTCACAAAAGAAAAAAGCAGTCCAATTTGTCAAGAGCAGCACTGTGAGAAGCAGAAGAGAAGCAGAGATCAAATTAGGTAAGGAATTGGTAGGAGAACACCTAGTTGCTGTGAATGAATTCAAGTCTCCTGGACCAGATGTATTATACCCCAGGGAGTTAAAGATACTGATAGATGTCATCTCAGAGGCACTGACTAGAGTCTAAGAAATCCTGAAGCACAAGGAAAGTGCCAGAAGACTGGAGAAGAGCCTACATTGAACCAGGAAACTATTGACCAATCAATTTGACATCAATACTTGGGAAAATCCTATAAAATAATCAAGCAGTGGATTTGCAAGCGCTTAAAAATGAACAGAGTGATTACCAGGAGCCAGAATGGATTTGTTAAAAACAGGTTGTACCAGATGATTAGTGGACCTAGGGAGTGCTATGAATATAGTGTATTTAGACTCAGTAAGGCATTTGATAAAGTAGACCACAGCCTCCTTCTTGATAAACTGGTTCACTGTGGGATGGACTATCAGATGGATTCACAGTTGACTAAACAACCATAGGTAATGCATAGTCCTGTAGGTTCACATAGAGGGAGGTATGCAGTTCCTTACCTTAGGGCTTGGTTCTGGGCCCAGTACTGTTCAACATCTTCATAAATGACCTCGGTAAGGGAATAAAAAGGGTACACATAAATTCTGTTGATTATACAAAACTGGGGGAGCAGTGCTATAAATCACAGAAGACAGGCTCAAGATTCAAAAGGATCTTGACAGACTTGAATATTTTGGCCCTATCCAACAAAATGTTCAACAGTATAAAATGTAAGGTTCTGCAGTTAGGCAGGAAAAAACAAAACAGATGCACTGGTACAAGTCAGGTGGTACTAGGCTTGGCAGTATTATTTGTGAGAAGGATCCAGTTGTCTTGGGAGACCACAGATTAATCATGAGCCAACAATGTGGCATAGCTGCTAAAAGAACCAATGCACCTTTGAGCAACATCAGTAGTTTCAAGATCATGGGAAGTGATGGTATCATTGCTGCACTAGTCAGATCTCAACTTGAATACTGTGTCCAGTTCTGGTTGTTGCAATACAAAAATGATGCTAGGACCTTGAAAGTGTACAGATAAGAGCAAAGATGTCAAGGGTCTTAAAGCTAAATCTTATTTTAAAAAGTGGTTAAAAGAACTTGGTATGTTTAGCTTAAAGAAGAGAAGGCTAAGGGGACATGACGGCTGTCTTCCAAAACATGGAAGGATGTCATCAGAAAGATGGTGTGGATTTATTCTCCAGAGTACCTGAGTTTAAGGCAAGAACCAATGAGTGGAAGCTTAGCAAAGAAAGATCCAAATAAGGAGGAATTTCCTGACTGTGAGAGCTCTTAAGCAACAAACAGCCTGCTTCCTGAAGTCATGGATGCTCCATCACTGGAAGTTTTCAAGAAAAGATTGGACAACCATTTGATGATTTGTGTATTGGGCACTGGGCAGAGGTTTGTTCCAAGGTCCCTTCAGACCCTGTGATTCTATGATGTGAGCAAAATAATCAGAACTGATATTGAAAATTGATTTGTAATTATTCACTGGTGTTTAAAATTTGGCATGATTCCATTAGAAACATTAATAAGTGATTGAAGAAAATGTCTGTAATTTAATAGTACAGTTAGTCATGACCATGGATATTTATAAGAAACTATCACTGATTCAACATGTTCTTTTCACAAAACAATCTTTTAAAATTGCAATTTAAAATGATTCCATCCTTCTGATAACAGGAAATAAATAAATAAATAAGATACCATACCCTAAATATGACTATCAGTAGTCATATCAAACTAAATTAAAGGCTAAGTTAAATAATTTTAATCAAAGGTTTTAGTTAATGATAAATAAGCAGAATAAAATGGTTATCTCCACAGACATTCAAGTTTTATCTGAAGGTTATCTTTTGTCAATAATCCTTGTTTAGGTACTGAGGGGCATTTATCTGCCTTTATAGATGTTGGCTTCATTGGCTTAATCAAACTTTTCTTTTAAATATTTGTGGTTTCATCTTTAAATTATACTTCTCCATTCAGATTTACTTCATTCAATATCATAGAAAAATACTTTGGGTTTGATAAGAGACAGATAGGTTTTTTCTTTTTCTTTGGTGCTCTGATCCTTCAATAAACTTCAGATCAAAATTCTGCTCCTTTAATGTTTGTTTTTAAAGAGATTCCTTGAGGGAAATACATTTGGAGGAAAAAATGTTGATTAGAAATGGAATATGTTTGAAACATTGAGAAAAGCACAAATGTATGTATAGTCAGTTACTTTTATGATTAACGCTGTAAATATCAAAAGTGCAGTTTAAGTTCAGAACGTGCACATTGGGATAGTTAATGTTCTAAAGTCAAATTACAATTATATTTGCATATTATATATTTCCTAGTAAAAGGCCAATATTTCAGTGCACTTAAGGGATTGCTTCAGAAGTCAGCTTTCCCAGTTTGGATAGAAAAGTTACACTTCCTTTGGACTGTATTTGTAGGTTGCCTGCTAATGTATTTCTGAATCGTGTCTTGATAAATGTAGATGACTCTTGGCTAAAATAAATTGTAATATTGGCCACTGTTTTTTTAAAAAAGAAGCACTGCTTTGATCACCAGTTTTCTTCTAAAAACAGGATATAACTGTATTCAATTGATGGCCGTGATGGAACATGCTTACTATGCAAGTTTTGGTTATCAGATCACAAGCTTTTTTGCAGCATCAAGGTATGTAGTGTGCTTTATTATTTTTGCTTATTTTCCTTTTTATTATTTTTTTCCTCTTCTTACAAAAAATAATATCAGAAAGGCCTAAACCAATGAAAGAGACAGAATTGACTAACTTGATCAGGGAGGTATATTAGATAATGGATTACATTCACATATTCAGCAATTGTAGCCACCAATGAAGTTATAGTCCAAAATTGTGCAATAGTCCAATGACTGTCACTCTGACATATTACAAATAATTGGAATATGCTCCAATATTGATTCATTAATATCAAAGAGCTTGATAAAAATACGGCTACTGCAATTCTAAACTTTTGTGATAAAACCACTTGATTATTAAATAAATAATATTACTGTATTCAGAAGAAAGAAGCCAAGGATCTTAATAGTAAAGCATAAAGTATTTTAAGGGCTTGACTTTCTCAGTCATAGACTTCAATAATTGTTCATTTCAGTTGAAAGGATGTATATTCTCCCCTCCCAGATTTCAGAATCTCTATGGATGACTGCAGTGCCTAAGATATGAAACCTCAGAGTTGGGAATAAGGCAGTCTGGGAAAATGTATATTTGAAACACTGAAATATTTTGAATAAATGAATATTTTTATTAATTTGTTTTCATCGGCATGTCTCCCTTGTTGGGATCAGTGTCAAGATAATGTATACAATAAAAGAATAGATTGTATATTTAATTCAATATCCATATGGATTTCTTCAAAGACATGTGATAATTTGTTTTTCTACTCTGTCAGAAGTCCTTTTCTCTTGCTCTACTTTGTTTTCAGAGATGAAAGACAAATGAAGGAACTTGCACAAAATGCATTTGTTTTTGGATTGATTGAACAAAGCCACTGCAATTTGAAAAAAATGCTGAATTTATAGTATAGATCTATTTATAACTGAAATTAGTTCTAATAATGTTCCAAACCATATCTATTTTAGATGTAGAAATATTAAATAAATATTCAAGCTTAAAGCATATGAGCTTTCACATTTTATGAAAGCAGTTGATTGCTACAGTTATGTGAATTGCTTGACTATCATCATAAATTCAAAGCTATCTGAAATCTAACTGGTTACCTGCTCTGCATTTATGATCAAGAGTTCTAGCACAAGACACTGCATCTGAGATCAGAGCAGACTCTCTATCTTTGTAGCTACAGCTTGTCCTTCCAACTTTCTTTTTCACTGCAATTTCATTTCTAGATACATTCAACATACATTGCATATGCTGCTGAAATTGAAGCTGCTAAAAATGAACTCTTCTAAAAGTCAGTTTGAATGTGAACCAAGTTATAATTTCCTTTGAAATGACTGAGAAGTGATGCAAATTAAAATTTTGCTCTTTCATTTCCAAGGTACTTTTACTTGTGAAGTGCTTACAGTCTATCTTGTATGTTCTTCACAGCATTCATATGAGAGAGATTGAACTTACTTTTTTCCTATGACTTCAGAAAGTATCTAATGATTTGCTTAAGGCTTCCCAGTGAGTTTGTTCTTTCACCCTCTTTTTCTCAGTTCTGAGAGTCAGATCAGTATACCAACATATAAAAAAAGAAATGTAAATGATACGAGATAATACTCTGTATAGGTTAAGCTATTGTTTGTATACCCTAGGATTATATCACACGATTGGCAGTAGCTTTTTTATAATCACTTCAGGCTTGCCACTTGATTTACTTATGCTTAAATATAAAATATCTTCTGTGCCTCTCTAATATGCTGTCATTAAATAATAGTTACAATTCTAGTGAATCATGATAGTAATCATGTTGAATTAAAAAATCAATGTTGTATACGATTAATTCTAAATGTTCATGCATTTTAGTCGATATGGCCTTCCAGATGACTTGAAGGAACTGATTGATGTTGCCCACTCAATGGGAATCACAGTCCTATTAGATGTTGTGCACAGTCATGCATCAAAGAATTCTGAAGATGGTCTGAACAATTTTGATGGTACTGATTCTGCATTTTTCCATTCTGGTGCTAGAGGAACACATATACTTTGGGATAGCCGACTTTTTGACTATGCAAAGTAGGTATAACTAATGTGACAAGTGCCATTGCGTCTAGTTGATTTGTATGCCCGTGATCTATAGGTCATTTGTTTTCATCAAATTATTATCCTGTGTTATTGTGGGTCTTTAAGAGCAGCAACATGTGGAGCTTGTTTGATGATGATAACTGCTGCATAACTTATCCAAGAGAATTTAGTTGGGCATGCACAAGCAATTTAACTAATCTGGTTCACTGATGAATATTTGCCTGATTGTGCAAATTAAAGAATCAAATAAAACTGTTTTCTGTAACATTGCAAAATAGAGAAACTTGGCCAATTCCTTTGATTATTTTACAAACCAGTGGAGCATGTTAAATAACTTTTTTTCACAGATCTTATCTATATCATTGGATAGTATTTACTGGAAATTATTGGAGCCACCTATCAAGTAGAGTTTTACATGTGCAATCTGGAACAAACATATGCAATGTAGAATGCTTCTTTTACTACTCCAGTTGTATTTCATAATATTCCACACCATTTTTTTCCAGGATAGTTTTTTTTTCTGCTCCTCTGCCCCATCAATTAGTCATTGCTTCAACTGCCCACTAAGCACTGCAAATTCTAATTTTTTTTAAAAAAAAATTTGTTGTTGTTGTTCAGTCGTTAAGTCGTGTCCGATTCTTCG